TGAATATGGATTGCTTGGATAGTCGATCTATGACTACCAGGATGGCTGTGAAGCCGGAGGAATCAGGGAGTTGTTCAATGAAGTCCATGGATATAGAATTCCACGGCTTCTCGGGAATGGGAAGTTGCTTCAATAATCCGTATGGTTTGTGTCGCGGAACTTTAGCTCGGGCGCAGGTCGTGCAGGACTTAACATAGTCCTTCACATATGCGCGGATTCCGGGCCAGGTATATTCCCGACGGATAACTTCCAGGGTCCGGTTCTGACCGAAATGTCCGGATAGCGGGTGGTCGTGCGTATTCCGGAGCACTCGGAGACGGAGGTCATTGGATTCTGGAACGTATATACGGTTGTCGCAACGGAGGAAACCACTCTCGTCCACTGTCCATCTCGGGTCCGACGGATCCGGAAGATGACAGGAAGCGATAGGGTCATTAGGGAGGGCGGACAGAATGTCCTTATGAAGCTGCTCGACATCCATCAGTACAGCTGTCCGGAGCACCGGAATTGCTAGGTGTGATGCCCGGAGGGACGAAGCGAGCTGTTCTGTGGTAAATATCGGCCGGAGGTTGTGTGGATTAACTTGAGCGTAGTCCTTATCCCCCTCTTTGGGGTAGACGTCCCAACGTCTAGTTAGGCAGTCGGGCTTAGCTCCGAGTTTTCCGGGTCGGAAACGGATAATCAGGTTGAACTGGTGAAGGTATTCCGACCAGCGGGCCTGGCGGCGGGTGAGGAGTTTTGTGGTAGCGAAGTACTCAAGGTTCTTGTGATCCGTGACGACGTCTATCGGCTCGGCGGAGCCTTCAAGGTAGTGTCGCCAGGACCGGAAAGCTTCGTAGATAGCTAGAAGTTCCTTATCATGGGTGTCATAGTTGAGTTCCGGAGCCGAAAGGGTCCGGGAGTAAAAAGCAACCGGGCGGAGCTCCTGGTCCGGACATACTATAGAAAGTATTCCGGCGATAGCATAGTCGGAAGCGTCCGTCTCAACGACGATAGGAACATCCGGCATCCAGTGCGTAAGCACCGGAGCGGTAGTGAAGGCTTTCTTGAGAGTTTCAAAAGATTTCCGGCAATCCTCGGAGAAATTCCAGGGAGCATCCTTGCGAGTGAGCCGCGTAAGCGGAACTACAATATCCGAGTAGTTAAAGATGAAGCGACGATAGAAATTGGCGAATCCGAGGAACGATTGAATATCCTTGACTTTCCGAGGTTCCGGCCAGTCGCAGATAGTCTGGACTTTGTCGGAGGACATTGTAAGTCCGGCCGGAGATAGGAGGTAACCGAGGTATTCTACAGAGTCGGAATGGAATTCGCACTTCTCCGGTTTAGCATATAGCCGATGCTTCCGGAGGCGTCGGAGGACTTCAAGGACGTGTTTTTTATGAGATGCAAGGTCTGCGGAATAGATGAGGATGTCGTCGAGGTACACAATAACACAAATGTCAAGCATATCGGCAAAGATGGTATTGACAAAGCGCTGGAAAGCCGCCGGAGCATTGGTGAGACCCTCCGGCATAACCAACCATTCATACGAGCCGTAGCGCGTCCGGAAAGCAGTTTTCCACTCGTCTCCTTCCGCCATCCGGACTAGATGGTATGCGGACCGGAGGTCGATCTTAGTGTAAACTTTAGCGCGGCTCGGAGAATCGAGAAGGTCGGAAATGAGGGGAAGCGGGTAGCGGTCTTTCTTTGTGATTTTATTGAGTCCTCGGAAATCTACACAGAGGCGTAGGGAGCCGTCCTTCTTTTTGACGAATAGGACAGGGGCTCCGTGCGGAGAGGATGAGGAACGAAGAAGTCCGGTCGCAATATTCTCATCAAGGAATTTGCGAAGAGCTACAAGCTCAACCGGAGAAAGGGAATAAATGGTGCCAAGGGGCGGAGCCGCTCCTTCTTCCAATTCGATCTTTAGATCATATGGACGATGGGGAGGGAGCTGTCCGGCTTTGCCCTTATCAAAGACATCCGCATACTCGTGATATTCCGAAGGAATTCCGGATAGGTTCGGAGGTTCGGAGGAGAGTGTAGCGGAGCGGAGATTGACACCGGACGGACGAACAAAAATACTGAACTGAACCGATCCCTCTAATTTACAGGCCCGGCAAAAGGCAACTGCATTGATTAGGGAAATATTAGGACCGGCATTATCAGCGGAGGGACTCGGCGAGGTTGAGGAAGGGATTTCCGCCGGAGCCGGCGGAAAAGAGGTCGGAGGGGTCGGAGGCACTCCATGAGGAATCGGACGGAAATCGATGCTGCCCTTTACCCAGTCAATCAACGGATTGTGTCGGGTGAGCCAGCTATATCCTAGAACGATGGAACAGGATGAGTCCAGCGGAGTAACATAAAATGTTTCGGAGGTAACCACGCCGGTCGGAAACCGGATTGGTAAATCTACTGCCTCAGTAATAGTGGCATTAGAAGTACCATCAAACAGATGGAGCGGAAGCGGAGGAATTGCATAGGTTGGAATGTTATTTTCTCGGATTAATCTGGTTTCTATAAAACAATGAGACGATCCACAATCTACAAGAGCCGGAAACGGAGAGATATCGGGAAAAGTAGAAATTGAAACGGATGGTACTAGAGAGTTCGGATCGGAAAAGGAAATAGCGTTGAGACGTAGCTCCATTGCACGGGTTGAGTCAACGCAACCCTCGTCCCGCGCGGAGTCAGGAGGGTTGCGGACTAATTTTTTGTCTCTTCCGAGACCTCCGGTTTGGCTTCCGGAGTCACCGTGCTAGCACGACCTTTGGCCGCACGGGAAGTGGACTTTAGGCAGTCCCGGGCAGTGTGACCGGGTCCGCCGCAGAAGAGGCAGAGCTTCTTCTCCATGCGCCTCTGGCGTTCCTCGGAGGTGAGTTTGCCGTCTTTTCCGAGCTTGGACGTCAAGTCCGGAAGTTTGGCGGAGGAGGAAGCCGAAGCGTTTCCGGATTTTCCGCCGGAGTACTCTTTCCGATCGGAAGTGGAAGCTGACTGCTTAGCAGGAGGCGCGGATGCGGAGGGTTTGGTTTCGCGGGAGACTTCTCCCTTGCGTTCCCAGTATCGAGCGTCGATAGTCTGGGCGAGAGTTTTGTATTGGGACAGAGTGGTGGGTTTTCCTTGACGACTGATTTCGTCCTTGATGCGAGCCGGAAGTCCGTTGTAGAACTGACGGCGCAAAGCTCCGTCGCCCCAACCTCGGACTTGGGAAGCTAGCCGCTGGAACTCTACAACATACTTGTTGATGCGCTGTCCGTCGCGCATATAGAGCTGTTCCAGCTGCATTTCCGCATCTCCGACCGGGTCGTGAGGTCCGAAGTTAGTTTGGAGTTCTAACATGAACTCGGAGTAGTCATCCATCCAATCCGGACGATCCGCTAGATCATCCGAAAGGAGGTCCGGCTCAAACCATTCAAGGGCCATGCCCTTGAGGTATGATTGCGCGAAGTTGACCTTAGTTCGGCCGGTGCGGAAAGATTTCGGCTTAGCTTGGAAGTTAAGCTCACATTGGACAAAGAACGCCCGGAGTTTCCGGGGCTCAGTGCCATCGAAGGTATCCGGTTCTCGGACTTTGACTTTAGGATCACCGGATCCGGAGGATTGGCGGTTGTTACGCGCCAGGTTATTGATGGCTTGGGATAGCCGGAGGAAGACCAAGTCTTGTGGACCTAGACCTTCGTTTTCATCGTCAGTCGGGTCTTCCGGAGGTTCATCATCCGGATCTCCGCCACCTCCTCCTGGCGGGTTACCGCCTAGGGCAAGTTCATCGTCGGAATCATTGTGCGGAAGATTTCCGGCGGGTGTGGGGGTGGGGGTAGACGGATGCGGGCGATTCATGAGTTGTGATATACTGGAGGCAGCACCTTGCGCACTAGCGCGGCGCTGTGAGAAACTGAGGAAGGCATCGACTATGGGAGTAGAGTCGCGTCGGGCGGTTACAACACCCGCTGCATTAAGAGCGGTCTGCGCCCGTGTAGGTGCCATGAAGTCAGATGTAAGTATACTCGGTAAGGTGTGAGTTCGAATATACTGTTAAGAACGTGCTCAAGGGTCGGATCCGAAGGGCTTGGCTTCAGCTCGTGCGCTGCGCCCCTTACCCGAGTACGTGCCCCTAACTTCCGAGGGTTGTTGAACGATGTCCGAAGGTTACCGGACGATGTCCGGAGGGCGTCGGGCGATGTCCGGAGTCCGATGTCCGATGCGCGGGAATTCCGGCGGACGTTCGGAAACAAGAGATAAGACTAATCCGGACGAAGTCCGAACTAGAAAGGAAACAGCGGAGGACTACCAGAGGTAGAGGCGGAGGTGTCAAGTCTATAGGAGTCGATCCTAAGACGAGCGGAGGTCGACGAGAGAGAAACTCAAGTCGGACGGAGGAGAGAATGAGCAGAGTCTAATATGATATTCGAACTGAGGAAACTACAGAGATTGTACAGGGGTTTATATACTACTGAGGACATAACGGAGAATAGTAAGTGCAGTGCGAAGCTATGTAAAGCTATGAAGAAAACATATGGTACGACTATCACTAGTCTATCGGAACTTAGTAAAATGAAGACGGAGATGAATGAGGAACGGAAAATAAAGCGTACTAACTGATAAGGGAAATACCAAAGGGATAAGGCGCGGAAGTTAGACGCGGGTCGGATCCGGACGATACATAGAAGTCGGCCGGATCCGGAAATCCGGAAATGATGAGTGTGATAGGTCCGGGTCCGGAACGCGGGATATGACAATGACAATCAACAAGGCACAAGGTCAAAGTGTCAAGTGGGTTGGCCTTAATTTGCGGACTCCTGTCTTCAGTCATGGACAGCTCTATGTGGCTTTGTCTCGCTGCACTCACCCAGACAGAGTGTATGCAATATTTCCGGAGCATGAAGAAGGCTCAAACACAACCAATGTAGTATATACAGAAGTGCTTAGAGGACTCACAGATCGTATCAATGATTGATGTACTTATATATATAAAACTGACTGATCTTATGTACTATGTACTTTTAGTTTTTTTGAAATGCTGCTCATAAATGTACCTCTTTTTCAAAATCCACAATTTATTAGGATGCAGCCTGAGGCCAGGAAGCCAAAGGAGGGGGCAGCCCTCCTTGGCTTCCTGTGACGAAGGAACAATGCTCATCAGGAGCCTTCAGAATTATTAGGATGAAGCTGAGGCCAGGAAGCAAAAAAATAAGAGTGCGAAGCACTCTTTTTTGCTTCCTGTGCCGAAGGCAGAACGGGTGTGGACTAGTGATACTATGAACGACACGGTGTAGCAAATTGGCGGGGCGCCTAACGCGAGCGGCCCGGACGGCGCGAAAAGCAGACACTGCTTGACTATGCTCCACGTGCTCACCACAGCCTGCGCCAAGCGCCCATCTCCTCGCGTGCTTCTTTGGGCTGTCAATCATACTTACGAGTTCATCGAGCGCGCACGGCGATGTTTGTAGCGGGTCGAGCTCGGAGACATATCCACCGGAGATTGATATTGCGACAACTGCCCCGGGCCAGGTAGAGCATGAGGAAGGGACGAGTCGAGTCGAGAGAATATGAGCGCGGAAAGCTCCGGCAGATTTCAGAATACGACATCTAGTGACGGGATGCTGCAAGATGGGACGATATCGGATTCGAAATAGGGTGGAGAAAACACGTGAAATGGAGAGGGAACGCGGCCTTCTGTCGAACTTTCTCGTCGCCATCGAAGTAGTTCCATCAAATGTGCAAAGATCATCCACGAGGCACTAGCTGCAAACCTGTGCGCTTCGCCCACAGCAATCAAGCTGTGAAGCGATAACGCATGTAACGCACCTTAAAATACGGCTTAAATGAAGCAGTGCCCAACTTCCTCCACTCCAACCCAAAACTCACTCATTGCTGGTGATCTGAGCACTGCCAGTGTGTGTCTAAACTTCTCAATACTATGGGCTGTTCTGCAACATATACACCTGCTCACGAGCAACGCTGCAAGATCTCAGTGCATTCTCCGATACGCAACTCCTGTATAAATTGGCTTCTGGGTGAGGACCGGATTCTTACAGTGCAGAAGTTGTCTGACTTATGCGTTTATATTAGCGAGAACTGAGGTTAAGGAAGAGAGGCAGGTTGACTCACCAGGAATATTTGCAGTTGCCAGAAAACTCGTTTTGATTCAAAGATCCTGGCGAGCTTCTCTCGCATAGATTTGCTATGCTCGAGACGTCCCTCGCGCTGACCATGTCTTTCCCGACGAATAAGAAACAAAAGACGCCAGCAGTCACACCCCGTCAGACGATGCGAGGCCATACCAAGTGGGTAGAAGGTGTTGTGCACCTGCCCGGGGGACGATGGATCATGACATGTTCGCTCGATGGGTCACTACGACTATGGGACTTGGAGAGCGGCACACAGATAAGCGAGGACTGGCGAGATGAAGAGGATGAGGAAGCAGGGGTGCACAGCATGGCATTGTCTCCAAACGGCAAGACTATTGTCAGCGGAAGTTATGATGGGAAAGTGAAGTTGTGGGATGTCGAAACGGGAGAGGTCGTCGCAAAATGGTCAGGGCACACTGATCGTGTGTGGTCAGTGTGTTGGAGTGCGGATGGTAAGCGAGTGCTGAGCGGATCCTGGGACGGGACAGCAAGAGTCTGGGATGTCAAGTCCGGAAAAACAATCTTGACAATCAAAACCGGGCACGAGTATGTGTGGGCGGCGATTTACTCGCCCGATGACACACAAATTGGGACAGCAGGACACAACCAGAGCGCAGTCAAAATCTGGGATGCAAAGACGGGCAAACTGCTCGCCACACTCAAACATGGTTTGACAGTTAGCTTGGCCTGGACCTCAGACGGGAAAACACTTGTCTCCAGTTCATTATCTGAGCTGATTAGGATATATGTATATGACACAACTACTTGGGAGCAGATCGCCATTCTGGAGCGTCACACAAGCTGGGTCAACGCCATCATCTTGTTTCAGAACGACCGCCTCCTTGTGAGTGCATCAGATGACAAAACAGTGCGTCTATGGAATCTCGACACAAACCTCCAAGTCGGTACACCCCTCCAACACGAAGATCGAGTAATCTGCGCAGCCCTTTCCGCTGATGGAAAAGTGCTGGTCACCGGTTGCCAGGACAAAAATGCATATGTATGGGACATTCACGCCATCCTCAAAGAAGCTGGCCATGAGGACCTACTATCCATTGATCATGTGAGTCCAGGTGCCTTCTGCTGTTCGAACCACACTAATCTCTCACTTGCAGGTCACAACCCAAAAGTCGTTAAAGGACGTACGTGATCCATTTCTTCACTCTGCCCAACCATTCTAAGATTGAAATTATAGGGTACTACCAGACGTCCACCTATTCAGGCCCGTCGAATACCACCAGGCTTTTTCGACGGCACCCAGGTGAGTCGTCTACATTCTTTGACCAGCTCTTTCTAACCTTTCTCAGTCCTCTACAGTACGTGGTACCCGTACCCTCTCTCCTGTGCACAATCCTCACAGTCCTCGCCCATCTCTACCTGCCATTCCACGTGCCCTTCTCAAACGACTTTCGTCGTTCTTCCACCGCTCTCACTCCGATGTTGATGGAGCAACCGAACTTCAGCAACGCCCAAGGCGCTCCATCTTTTCTCGCGGTCCTCCTATCGTCGAAGTTGCTACAGTACCGGACAAACAGGTATTTTCTTCTCATCTATTTCCCATCACGGTGGCTTAATAATTTGTGTTCAGACATTATTTGTTGCTCCGCGACCGCGGCCGCAGCAGCAAAGCCCGTCGCACGCCCAGGGCTCGTCGTCGCAATCTCAGCCCACCACACCTGCTCAAGGTACCAGCACTGCCGCACCAGGTGCAAGTCACCACCCATCCCATTGTGGGCTCGGTTTGTTTTGTTTCTCTGCTGCGTATCTCCCCCGCACGCCAATGGACATTAATACAGGAAAACATGTACAATCATTTTGTTTTTCACATCCGCCCCTAATCTATCGATCGTGTTTGAGACTCGTGCGACGCAACGAGCTCGATCATACTAACCGTCGCGAGAGCATCACTATATTCACAGAGTATAAAAGCCTAGGATCAGCCCAGGTTCTTCCTACCTGTAGACTTTCGCAATATCATCGCCAACTCGTCAGCTACTATGTAGCCTTTCAGGTCATGTTTGCAGAATTCAACCTCGGACGAGCAAGATGCCCTTTATAATGATGCACCAAATTTGTGCACCGGTATTTGCGTAGTTCTCTGCCGGAGCCCCGAAACATCAGTTTTGCACAGGGCTGCATAATTACCAGTGTGCAACTACGGTTACCGGTCATAAACGCCAGCGGTTTTTTGTGTTCATGATATTGAGCATATGGGATTGTAACTATTGATTTCCAGGTGCTGACACCGTTGTCCATACACCAGTGAAATTTCTCCAGATTCCGGAAGCAACTACAGCGATCAAGTCAGCAACGAACTGTATATTGTGCCATCAATGACGATCCAACAGCCCAATGCGAACGCAGAAACACGACTTACTGGCCAGTTGTGCTTCTCGTCTCGTTGACTGGCCCATAGGCAGCCTAACCACAGGACATGGAATTACCATTCTATTAGCATCACAAGAGGTGAGTAATGGCGTTTAATCCTGGATGCAAAGTAAACTGCTTATACTCACTTCGCCGGGAAGACAGTGCAAGCCTGTGCAGCAATCGCTATCAGTGGAGCAACGCTGCACCCATGTGCTGCATGCACTAACAGACATGCATACTGCCAATGCGGTAAGGACGACTACGAAGGAGAAATGCATGGTTTGTGCGATGTGATACGAGTCTTGTGAAGGAGAATCTCAACTGATATCACTGAGGTGAGGGGTACGCTGAGCGCGGTCTGCTTTTATGTCGTGAAATTGGTGTTGTGAGCAACTTCACGGTGAGGATGTCTGGAACCTTGCGAGTTGAACTATTGGGCTGGCAGATTGGTTGCGCCTGTTAAATGACGGAACTTGACAGGAAGGATGTCGGAAGAATATATTGCAAGTATAATTTTTCTTGAAAAAACCCTATCGGAGTACCAGGATAAACAATCCAGAATTCAAGACTGTGAGCGTGATGGGGCTCCCTTGTGCCTCTGCGAAGTTCCGGTTATAGATCTCGGAGTGGCCACACCGCTAGATTGCAACTCACCACAAGGTTGCGTCCTACAAATGTGCGTGGAATGCATGCTCATTCGCTTTCTCCCGTATATTTTGAAGGACATCACAGCACCGAGCTAGATGAGATCGGCTGTTCCACAGATACTCACCCTATGACGCTCCCAAGTGGGAAGCGCGCAAATTTATCTGCTGCGACTCATCATCATATTCTGGATACTCATACATTGCCAGAACATATCATCCATCCCCAGATGGATCCGGCAGATATCTGTCAATAGCTCCATCGATCTTTGATATATTGGTGCTTGAAGTATTCATGTTATTCTGGGGATAAGTATGTAAATCCGGCGGCAATACACAAGAGCAGGACATTGCGACTACGTTGGTGGTACAACGGCATGTTGAAGGTTTGGTAGCATCGATTTCGGAATAAAGATATGAGATGGAGAGAGATGTTCGCCGTTGAAATTTCTCACCGCCACCGAAGTAGCCCATCAGATGTGGGAAGAAGCAACTAGCGCTAGTCGCAGACTTGGGCGCCTCGTCTACATAGCAAATCAGCAGACACAGGATGACACATGGAATGCACCTAAAAATACGCTTGAACAAGCAGTTCCTCGACTCCATTCCAAACGCCCACTGTTAGTTACATTTTAAACGGTGCTCTAGGGTCTTCCGCAACATATCCATCTCCTTACTAACGGCGTTGGACACTCACCAGGGTCTCTGGGCATTCTCCAATAGGCAACTCTTATATACACAGTGCTGAAGTCGAAGGACAGGATTCCTATAAGCAGCTATCTGGTGAGGAATGGCTTGTGCATTTATATTGGAGGTAGCTGAAGTTAAAGAAGATAGATCTGGTATACTCGAGACCTCCCCCACGCCGACCATGTCTTTCCCAACGAATAAGACGCCAGCAGTCACGCCCAATCAAACGATGCGAGGCCATACCGACAAGGTGCGAGGTGTTGTGTACCTGCGTGAGGGACAACGGATCATCACATGTTCGAGGGATGGGTCACTACGACTATGGGACTTGGAGAGTGGCACGCAGATAGGCGAGGACTGGCGAGATAAGGAGGATAAGGAAGCAGAGGTGCACAGCATGGCATTGTCTCCCAACGGCAGGACTATCGTCAGCGGAAGTAAAGATGGGAAAGTGAAGTTGTGGGATGTCGAGACGAGAAAGGTCGTCGCAAAATGGACAGGGCACACTGAACGTGTGATGTCAGTGTGTTGGAGTGCGGATGGTAAGCGAGTGCTGAGCGGATGCTATGACGGGACAGCAAGAATCTGGGATGTCAAGAACGAAGAAACAATCAAGACCATCAAGACCGGGCACCGGTGGGTGCACACGGCGATATACTCGCCAGATCACACACAAATTGTGACAGCAGGATACAACGAAGCTGACGAACGTATAAAAATCTGGGATGCAGAGACAAGTAAACTGCTCGCTACACTCAAACATGATGTGTTAGTCAGCTTGGCCTGGACGTCAGATGGAAAGAAACTTATCTCAGCGGGATACCTGATTAGGATATATGACACGACGACTTGGGAGCAGATCGCCATTCTGGAGGGCCACACACACTGGTTCGAAACCATCACCTTGTTTCAGAACGACCGCCTCCTTGTGAGTGCTTCAGATGACAAAAAATTATGTCTATGGAATCTCGACACCAACCTCCCAGTTGGTCCACCCATCCAGCATGAAGGTTATTTACACTGCGTAGCCCTTTCCGCTGATGGAAAAGTGCTGGTCACCGGTAGCGACCAAAATGCATATGTATGGGACATTCACGCCATCCTCAAAGACGCTGGTCACGAGGACCTACTATCCATTCCCCATGTGAGTCTAGGTGCCTCGTGCTTTCAAACCACACTCATCTCTCACTCACAGGTCACAACCCAAAAGTCGTTAAAGGACGTACGTGATCCATTTCTTCACTCTGCCCAACCATTCTAAGATTGAAATTATAGAGTACTACCAGACGTCCACCTATTCAGGCCCGTCGAATACCACCAGGCTTTTTCGACGGCACCCAGGTGAGTCGTCTACATTCTTCGACCAGCTCTTTTTCTGATCTCTCTCAGTCCTCTACAGCACGTGGTACCCATACTCTCTCTCCTGCGCACAATCCTCGCAGTCCCCGCCCACCTCTATCTGCCATTCCACGCGCCCTTCTCGAACGCCTTTTGTCGTCCTTCCACCATTCTCATTCCGATGCCGATGGAGCAACTGAACTTCAGCAACGCCCAAGGCGCTCCATCTTTTCTCGCGGTCCTCCTATCGTCGAAGTTGCTACAGTACCGGACAAACAGGTATTTTCTTCTCATCTATTTCCAATCACGGTGGTTGAATAATTTGTATTTAGACATTATTTGTTGCTCCGCGACCGCGGCCGCAGCAGCAAAGCCCGTCGCACGCCCAGGGCTCGTCGTCGCAATCTCAGCCCACCACCACACCTGCTCAAGGTACCAGTACTGCCGCACCAGGTGCAGCAACCACGCAGTCACCACCCCTCCCATTGTGGGCTCGTTTCGTTTTGTTTATCTGTTGCGCATCTCCCCCGCACGCCAATGGTCATTAACAGGAGCAGCACATGTACAACCATCTTACTCTTCACGTCTTCCGCTCTTCCAACAATCCTGTTTCCTCGTCGTGAGACTCGTCTAATCATACTAACAGCCATGACAAACGTCATACTCGTTCCCAAGCTTAGAGTGAGCAAAACTATTTCCTGAGACTTGTTCTGTGTCGAACTTTGCAACGAGGTTTGAAAGGCATGAGTATGTTTTTTTCAGTGGTAGAGAGCCAGTCACGGTTACATTGCAGACTCGTGTCGTTCTCTTTTTTTGCCGTGCAACTCCCCCACACGCCAATGGTCATCAACACAGGCGCACAACTATTTCACGTTAGTCTCTGGTTCTCTGATGTACTCTTACTTTTTAGATTATTCGCGTTCAAAGTACTTGCCGCATACACGATGCGGGGTTTGAAATAGACTTGCAAGAGAATTATCTTCCAAACGGTATGTTACTTACTAGTAACTAGCAAACACATTCGGTTATCGTTTTTTTAACTGCATCTACGGTGCGTTCCAACACCCCGAGTCCTCCAGATTTCGGACTACGGCTTTCTGGATTTCGAGATGCATACCACCAAAGTATATATTACAATATGAGTCTGCAATACGAGGGCAAGATATCCATTCCTGTTCGTTTCTCACTCATTGTCACAGTATGTTATCATCAGAGAACCGACGAGTCCTTCAGGTTGCATTACGTTGATTGTAGGGCCTTGACGTCGTAATATGACTTTATATATCGCTTCTAGCGATGAAAATAAAAAACATGCTCTGCATGTAATGGTACAGTTGCGGACAAGCAATGTCCGCAAATTTACAGACCAAATTTTGTCGGACACACAACTTAACGGGAAATGTTAGAAACAGTGATTTCATAGGTACAAGTACAATAACAGAAGATCACAGAATGTGTTTGGCATCAGTCCTGAGCGATTATGAACTCCAAGAGCATCATCCCTACAAGATCATAGGTTTGGGTGAGCACCAAACCAGCACTGGCCCTGCAAATTATTACAACTCAAACATCGTCGATGTATCCAGGCATGGAAGGAACTTGCCCAATGTCCTTGAATTCCTTCAAGGTTCGCTCCTTGCCATTCAAAACAAGCCACATGGTCATGTCCATTTGGTATGTTGTGTGACTACCGAAGTTCAGTAATGTAGGTTCGGGCGCCTTATGATCCTGAATGTATGATTACATCTTAGCCATCAAGCTACACTCTAAGCTTACCTCACTAGACTCGTTAGCCCCTACATCGGGCCTTTCGAATGCGCGCGAGAGCACGCACTCATCTATCACATGATATTGAGTCTGAAGCAAACCCCACTTTGAAATACAGCTGACTCACGAATCAACACTCGGCTGTTTGGTCCCATTGCTTTGCGAACATTATGGAGAATCACCATCGACTCCGCGTCCGGCCAGTCATGAACGATGTTCCTCAACTTTATCGATTATCGAGCAGTACGCATTGAATGGGAACAAATTTAGCACATACGTAGTAAACATCCTTTCCGACGACGGGCGAGTCCTCCAAGAAATTGAATGGCACGAACTCTACACGCCCGTCGAGCAGTGCCTCAGGAGCATTTGTCTCCCATGTCTGATCAAATATGAATATAACTTGTCTGCTGTGGATGTCCGGACTCACATTTCTTGACAGCTTTATAGTTTCTGGGAGATCCTGATTGGTTATTCTGAGATGAGGGAACATTTTTGCGAGAGGAATAGACATTGCTCCGATTCCAGATCCAACATCCACCACAGAGGATACATTGTCCCAAGGGTAATCTGATGGCCCGCTTCAGTCATGCTGACGGTTGAAAAAACTGTGATCACTCACGATGCAGCACCGCAGACAAGCCCTGGATCTCAGAATAGCCCATCATTCCTTTGTGAAATATCTGTGCATAAGATCCTGTGAGCCGTCAGCCATGAGCTGGTGGATCTGCACGCACATCGCGTGCCTCATCCTGTACAATATGGTAAGGCATGAAAGGCCAGTATGATGACTAAAACTCACGTCCATCTCCCAGAAGCTGTCATTTTTGCCTTCCTTTCCGAGAGTAAATGCTCGTGGGGCTCTTTCCAGCTTGTCCGACCTTGCAAACTCTTGGTCGACCATAGTCTCATAGAGAACCGCAGCATATTTCGGGAATTCTCGCTGAGTTTTTATATAAAATCCGACGTTGTCTGTTTCCCTGAGCACGAGGGAGAGTCGTGTGTTTGCGAATACGTCTCGCTTAACTATGGAACACCAAAGGCTTTAGAGAGAATTATCAACGGACAGTATGATGCATATTACCTTCTTTGAAGCAACCCCTGAGGGCCAAAACTCGCAACACCCGTGCGATCTTGGTCTTATCGAGGTTGACTGCGTCGGCCAACACATCCACACTAAGACCTTCTGGGTGTTTTTCCAAGACGTCTGCAATACGTGATTGCACAGCAACGTCTATGCATGCCCAATTGTAATTATTAACAAACTAGGAAGATGAGCAACAAGGCATACAGGACCATTTATAAATGATAATCGGTACTTACATTATGCACTGTGCGTTGGGGGGGAGCCAGTATTGTGTTCAATTGCTCGCATGCACCTTCGAGCAGCCTGATTGCCTTTCTGAGGGCAAGTGTATCTGTAGCAAGATCGAGGGGGTGGAGGGTGCCTGCATCGACGCCAGGGACTCCATGTTCAGTGTTCTTGTATTCCGCCATTGCTTGGCGTGCAGAGACATTGATGATGTCCAAGAGGGCTCCAACCTTGAGTTCATTTGGCTCCGTCATTTTTTGGGAGTGTAGTACGTGATTCCTCATCAGCCGTTCAGGTTTTATATTCCTCAACCAAATATCATCTAGCTGCTTTTTCGTGGCGAACACATTCAACATTGGGTTTGTGAAAGAAGACCGAAGCTAAACCTAGTCTGACCACTCACAAGACCTGACCTCCATCTCAAATGACACTGCTTGTTACCCGTGTAGTGGTATCAGGGTGGTAAGAGCACACGATACATCTAACCTGAATGTTGGCTTATCCGTATGATTACTTGAAACAAGTACTAGATAAGCCAACGTTCAGGTATGGTGCAACGCGCATACCATAATTAACGAGAAGATATCATCGACCCTGTGAGGTGTACGTCCGTGTCATCAGTCAGCTACCCATAATTGTTAAAAACACCACACCGGTGACTTACCTATAGCTTATGGCGGTTCAATTTGCTACTATGACTTATTAGGAAGTCCGACGCGATCGTCCAAAATCCTCCATCGCGTTGTTTCAACTTGTTTGGCAATTCCAAAAGGCTGTCCAAGGCGATCGAACTAGTAGGCCCATCAGTAAACGTGAGTTCCAACAAAGTTTGTTTCAAAGCACTCACGAAGCACTCATATGCATGTGGATATGCTTTTTGGTTAGCGAAGGCCAGCGTCTGTCGTTTTTGGTCAACAACGTTCCAGCTATCTTCATATTGATGGACCAGAATTCGAAAATTCACTTTGCCACCTGTTGGAACGAACCCAAATCGAGGCGCTCCATAATGCAAGGCATAGTACTTTTGTAAGTCATACAATCGTACGTCAACCTGACCTGTGCGACCTGCGCGGGTGTTACAAATGCAGCGACGAGAGCCTGGAATCACACCGAAGAAGCCCTCGCCGTACAAGATGTTACAATGTCGTCAAAGGTAAGTCGTGCTTGTACTGTGGCCGTCGACGTATGCTGCGCGTGGACAACCTACTGCCGTATCGCAAGCATCTGGTTTATGTCGACGGTCTCCGTGCAAGATGATGATGGTCAACCATCGTTGTACTAATACTCTGCAAGTCACGATAATGACTTGCAAAAGAAGCTAGCATCTCGGAGCATGAGCGCCTCTGTCTGGCGTCGCTCCAGCAATGATAAACAAAAGCAGCTAGGTGAGTTTTTGAAATGCTGGTCCATCAATATGAAGATAGCTGTAAACTCCCGACACCATTTCAAAGACATCCGACGCCACCCGCATTCTCAAAGAAGCTGACCTTGAAAGCCTACTATCCATTCATCATATGGCTCCATGTATTACCGCATGCTCTTCAAACCACACTGACTTGAATCTCTCACTCACAGGTCCCAACTCGAAAGTCGTTAGAAGAGGTACGTGACGTATTTCTTTATCCTGTCCAACCATTTTAAGATCCGTTACCAGATGTCCACCTATTCAAGCCCGTCGAATACCACCAGGTTTTTTCGATGGCGCCCAGGTGAGTCGTCTACCTTTCTTGACCTGCTCTTTTTCCTGACCTCTCTCAGCGCGTGGTACCACATACTCTTGCACATCCATCCCGAGCGAATGTCCGATTCTGTGAGGTAAAAGGGCTGAACTGATTCCAGAGCGCCTCACCTTTTGAGTTTCTGCAGAATCCGAGGTCGAGGAACCCTTCCACGGGAATGTGATGACAGAGCAGTTGGACGGTGTCCTAGTGGATAATGGGTTTGAGCTACTAACCACTTCCCACAAACCGCTCCCTTAGATCCCTGCACTAATCCACGAAAGTGGACGAGAAACGAGTACCATCACCGCACGTAACACATACCCAATAGTCGTAATCTCACTATACCATGCACTCACGAAATGCGCGTCTAAAACGGCCGGCAGGAACGGCGGACTGATGGAGCACGTCTCACATCAGGGCATTCGCGATTTCAGCATACAAGGACACCGGGGGTCCAGTAGAATAGAAAGTATTGTCCTACATAGAGTATACTCTCAATGGACAAAAATTGGAATAAAAAAAAAAAAAAAAATTGGGTTTGAGTTTTCATCGATTCCTATGCAAAAATGTTAGATGATGATGCAAAAGACGCATACGAAGCTTACCTTTGCATCTCCAACACAACAGAGTATGATGTTAGCCTTCCTCGAAAAAATTATATTGTTTCCAACATGCATTGTGTATGTAACTTGAACAGTTCAGACCTGTACTGCATTCAGTCGTTACGACTCACTGTCCACGGAATTCACTTAATACACGTGAAGGCTGAGTGGTCTGCACAAAGGCTGGAAAATGAGCTATTGTATTACCTGATCTACTTAAATTTGAGTTCTCGAAGAGCATCAATCGAACGGCAGTCATAGCAGTACGTAGGCGATGACACTGCGGTTGATCTGGATGATTTTGATTCCCTATCAGATCAAGTCTTACTTAGAGATGGCTAATATGAGAGAACTCAGTATCTCAAAGCACACACAAAACCCATAGTATATATATATTTCCAAATGTGCCATACCTTTTCTTCTCTAGGCCAGTCACATATCTGAGCGCTTAGTCTACACAGCAATTAAGCTGTGAAGCGGACACAGGATGACATATTGAACGTAACTTAGAATACGCTCGAACAAGCAGTGCCAAGTTCCAAGTTCCTCAACTTCAATCCAAATGCCCACTGTTAGCTGGTGATTTGAACACTCTGGACGGTACTCCTCGTCAGCGATACCCTAAGGTCTTCTGCAACATATCCACCTGCTTCCCAGCGACTTCGAATACTCACTAAGATTTTCCAATACGCAACTCTGATATACACAGTGCCGAAGTGGGAGGACCAGATTCCCATAAGCAGGGTGCGTATACTCGAGACCCCGTGTCGATCATGTCTTTCCCGACCAAGAAGCAACAGACTCGGGCAAGGTTAATGAGCCCCCGTCAGACGATGCGAGGCCATACCGGCGATGTACAAGGTGTTGTGCACCTTCACGGCGGACGACAGATCATGACGTGTTCGTTCGATGGGTCACTACGACTATGGGACTTGGAGAGCGGCGCACAGATAGGCGAGGACTGGCGAGATGAGGAGCATGAGGAAGCAGGGCTAGACAGCATGGCATTGTCACCAAACGGCAAGACTATTGTCAGCGGAAGTAGAGATGGGAAAGTGAAGTTGTGGGATGTCGAGACAGGAAAGGTTGTCGCAAGATGGACAGGGCACACTCGATTGGTGACGTCAGTGTGTTGGAGTGCGGATGGCAAGCGAGTGCTGAGCGGATCCTGGGACGGGACAGCAAGAATCTGGGATGCCAAGACCGGAAAAACAATCTTGACAATCAAAACCGGGCACGAGCGTGTGTGGGCGGCGATATACTCGCCCGATCACACACAAATTGGGACAGGAGGATCATCCAACGAGAATGCAGTCAAAATCTGGGATGCAAATACGGGCAAACTGCTCGCCACACTCGAACATGTTACCAGCTTGGCCTGGACGTCAGATGGGAAGAAACTTATCTCCGCGTCATCTAACCCGACTAGGATATATGACACAACCACTTGGGAGCAGATCGCCATTCTGGAGGGTCAAACAACCTGGATCGACGTCATCACTTTGTTTCAGAACGACCGCCTCCTTGTGAGTGCATCATGGGACAACACAGTGTCAGTGCGTCTATGGAATCTCGACACAAACCTCCCAATCGGTCCACCCCTCCTGCAGCGCAAACTTGAAGGTGGCATAAACTGCGCAGCCCTTTCCCTTGATGGAAAACTGTTGGTCACCGGTAGCAAGGACGAAAATGCATACGTATGGGACATTCACGCCATCCTCAAAGAAGCTGGTCTTGAGGACCTACTATCCATTCCTAATGTGAGTCCAGATACATTGTGCTTTTCGAACCACACTAATCTCTCACTTGCAGGTCCCAACTCAAAAGTCGTTGAAGGACGTACGTGACGTATTTCTTTACCCTGTCCAACCATTTTAAGATCGAATTCTAGGCTGGTGCTACCAGACGTCCACCTATTCAGGCCCGTCGAATACCACCAGGCTTTTTCGACGACACCCAAGTGAGTCGTCTACACTTCGACCAGCTCTTTTCCTGATCTCTCTCAGTCCTCTACAGCACGTGGTACCCGTACTCTCTCTCCTGCGCACAATTCTCGCAGTCATCGCCCATCTCTATTTGCCATTCCACGTGCCCTTCTCGAACGACTTTCGTCGTTCTTCCAGCCTCACTCTCACTCCGATGTTGATAGAGCAACCGAACTTCAGCAACGCCCAAGGCGTTCCATCTTTTCTCGCGGTCCTCCTATTGTCGAAGTTGCTACAGTACCGGACAAAAAGGTGTTTTCTTCTCATCTATTTCCAATCACGGTGGTTCAATAGTTTCTGTTCAGGCATTATATGTTGCTCCACGACCGCGGCCGCAGCAGCAAAGCCAGTCGCACACCCAGGGCTCGTCGTCGCAATCTCAGCCCACCACAACACCTGCTCAAGGTACCAGCACTGCCGCACCAGGTGCAGCAACCGCGCAGTCACCACGCATCCCATTGTGGGCTCGTTTTATTCTATTTATCTGCTGCGCATCTCCCCCGCACGCCAATGGTCATTAATACAGGAGCAGTACATGTACAATCATCTTGCTCTTCACGTCTTCCGCTCTTCCAACAATCCTGGTTCTTCGTCGTGAGACTCGTCTAATCATGCTAACAGTCAACTAACAGTCATGACAAAAGACGTCATACTCGTTCCCAAGCTTAGAGTCCTGGCTTGCGACAGGTATGCAGAGCAGCAACACCTGAATACATAATGAAGAATGGAGCTGTCACTTTTTGGGTGACCCTGTCGTTGCGAAACTATTTCCTTGGACTTGTTCTGTGTCAAACTTCGCCACAATGTTTGAAAAGCATGAGTATTTTGTTCCAACATTTTTGTCAGTGGTAGAGAGCCAGTCACGGTTACATTGCAGACTCGTTTCGTTCTCTTTTTTTTGGCCGTGCAACTCCCCCACACGCCAATGGTGATCAATACAGGTACAAAACTAGTTTCTGGTTCTTCTGTACTCTTATCTTTCTTCATATCATTTCGCAACCACGTACATTAATATTGTTTCCTTGTCGTAAGACTCGAGTAATGCATCGAACTCGACAATGGCAACCGTTGCGAGAAAAACATTGTGAGATCAATTAAGAGGATGAAAGCCTGGAACCTAGCACGGATGATGGTTTGGTTTGGTACACAATCCATTCTCCGTCTACATCTTCGTTTCGCAACTCAATCTCGGCACCTACTAGGAGACAACGCAATCTTTCCGATCGAGACCCGGAGAAATTGGATAATGAAGACCTGGCCACAGACCAGTCTACCACGTTCGGCGTATCGTCTGGAGAGTCAGGCAGCTCGAGGAGAGAACGATTCTACGAATGAACGAACGAACGAACAATTATGAATGTTCATTGTTCACTGAGTACGTCTTGTCCCCCAGAACTGAATCAACTTGTCTTCCATGGTGATCAGCAGATCACAGCGCCAGCCTGTCTTGTCGCCATATCTAAGATATATCTCCTGGCCTTTGTCATACTACCGTCTGTTTCAATGACTGAGAATGTGATGCAATGCAATTGAAGCCTGCGATGCTCAACGGGGAGGGCGTTTTACCACAAATCAGGATGCCAAAGACGCCAAACAGTGAATAGGCAATGTCTTCTTGCAGCGTGGTGACACGGGTCAATCTCTGATGGTAGCCAGTTGGGCTTGTCAGCAATGTCTCCGGTTTATCGTCTGGTTATTGAGTAGTGCCAGGGTGTTTAAGTAGCCCGGATGTCATCGAAGACTCGGGCAAATGAATTCTCGAAGACCGTGTGGCAGAGCGTAACCCCGCTTTGCTGTTGAATGTTGAGATACTATGGGGGACTTTCCAAAGCTTCAAGTTGTATCATTCGCGTTCGAAGCATCATGCGGGGTTTGAAATTATACTTACATGTTCCAGAATCCAGACGGAGCCGGGAGGGTACACTGCTTACTAGTAACTACTAATACTCGGTCGTTGTTTGTTTCGAACTGCAGCGCTCAGCACTAAAGGCTAATCTGTGGTGCGTTCCAACACCCCGAGTCCTTCAGATTTCTGGATTTTGAGATGCATATGAAAATCCACCACTAAAGTATATATTACAATGTGAGTCTGCACAAGATATCCATTCTTGTTCGTCTCACTCATTGTCACAGTATGTTATCATCAGAGAACCGACGAGTCCTTCAGGCTGCATTACGTTGATTCCAGCGCCTTGACGTCGTAATATAACTTTATACATTGCTTTTAGCGATGAAAATAAAAGACATGCTCTGCCGGCATGTAATGGTATATCCAATACAACTTTCTCACCAGTCCTCTTATGCGCCATAGCGGTCCCGGTCTGCTCAAGGATGGACACGCTCCAGCGGTCAATACCAGCGTCGAGCAAGAGGAACAGCTGTATGATACGGACATAAGCGCCTGGCCCACTCATGGTCACATAGGGTCGTGTTCCATTCCACGGGATCTCCTGTTCCCGGGGCCAACAGCCACGAGGCTTGTGTGTAAGAACATGCTTTCTTCACGTTGTATAGAAGGTTTACTCGCAGTAAAAATGGTTTTTTCCCATTCCTCCCTTCCTTGATCCACCTGTGTCCACTACAGCACGAATGATGCATAACACGTGCCCGCGATCCAGTTCTGCACCTGCGGATGACGACCTCCTGACCAACGAGTAAGTGGCGAGTTAGACTGAGTTGATTATCAGCTCATGGACACACAGGAGTCCGATTGAGGCGTCTATTGAGGAAGGCCTAGCCAGGACTATGTAAATATTAACCAATTAGTATGGTACATTTGACTCTAACTCTATCATCTCAAAGGTCAAGCACTCTGGAGCAGACCACGGACAATGGGATCGAGCCGAATGAAAATCCTGCGATGTCCACCGAAAAAAACCTTGCTAAGATGTGAGTGTCAACTCATCAGCACGGTACACTTGACACCTGACCATATTTTCTTAAAGCTCAGATACGCTGGCGCAGATTCTCGATGTCCTTAAAGAATCGACTATCGCAGAAGAACGCGGAAAAGATGACAATTCAAAGTTTTGGGCAACGTACAAAAAAGTTTCGACTGAGCACGACGACGACTTCCTCGATCGGGCCAATGATGATATGGGCATTATCCTGACTTTCGTGCGTTTCTTTCTACGTATCTCAATGTAAGTCTCACAAGCGTATTAGGCTGGTCTGTTCTCAGCGGTCAACTCCACCTTCATCGTCGGAATGCAGCCTGATCCAGGAGACACTACCAATGCCCTCGTCCTCCAACTCATACAGATAATTGCTAATGGCCCAAATTCCGTACCTGGCATCAGCACTCTTTCCTCATCTACGGGATTTTCCTCTTCGACGGTCTGGACGCAAACACTTGCCTATGCTAGCCTCGCATTTAGCGTCTTGGCTGCGTTTGGGGCTGTCTTAGGCAAACAATGGCTGAACTCCTATAAATCAGTTCAAGGACGAGGGTCTCTTGAAGAGCGTGGCATAGAGAGGCAGATGAAGCTAGATGGACTAGAATCTTTCCGCCTGCAGACCATCTTGCGGGTATTCCTGGTGCTGCTCCAGATTTCGCTCCTGCTCTTCGGCCTTTCGCTAAGCGCCAACATGTGGGCCCAGCAAACCACTATATCCAGCGTTATTATCTGCACCACAGCTTTTGGCATTCTGTTCTACGTGGGCACTTTTCTCGTGTCGGTGTTGCATCCGGACAGTCCTTTCCGGACGCCAGCCTCGGACCTATTGGCAACCATCTGCCAAAAGATTTATCCAGGCAAATCTACATCGATTCGTCACACACTCGCCAAATCGTCCGCCATTCGCTGGATACTGGAGACATCAACGAACCCTGAAATTGTGGAGGCTGCGGCTACGATTGTACCTTGCGTACAATGGCCCCCGAACCTTGATGCTTCAGCAGCCTTCGCACGTTTACGTGATAGTTTTGTAGCGTGTCGTAACAGACCAGAGCTATATGTGAAGTATGGCAAAGCCATGGCCCATCTTTGCATCCAGCCGGTGAAAATCAACAAGGAACTTCTGGGATTTCTTTGGGATGACAAATTTAACCAAAGCCGAAGTCGTTTCATTCGCGATGCGTTCATGGCTGGATGTGCCGCCTATAAGCAGCTCAAGAGTTCACGGGAAGACAATGCTCGCCGACGGAAGCATCGGGCCAGTGCACGCACTGCGCTGAGAACGATGCTTGTCCACGGAACGCGCAATAAACTTTCACGCCCAGACGATGAACACTTGATTTGGTATGGTGATCTGCGCTGGCGTCACAGCGACGAGCGTGAGCCCAGCTATGAAAAATTTAATTGGCTAGTTGATTACCTGGGTGATGCAGAGAATCACACAGATCATGAAACAGAAGGCGACGCTTTGCTTGCACTGAGCTCCATGCGTAGACTAGGGAGCCCCGCCAAACGACCGTCCTACATCAACTCGCTCATCCGCTGTATGCACTCCACCAAACCTCCCCGAGTCCGTCATACGGCACTTAGAGCCGTATTTGAAGCTCGAGAAGAACTAGCTTCTATGACAAGCGCCTCGATGCCACAGGGTGTCGATGCGCAACTCCTGGATGGGCTTTCTTCGGCTCTTATGAGTGCTGTACGTCCAAATGACTACCACACAATCCACGACACTAGACCCGACGGCTCTTTCCACAAAGATCGAGACTTTTGTTACATCCGCCTCATCTATGCCCTGACAGAGAAAAACGAGTGGTGTCACCGTCTGATCCATCATGGCCATCTCAAATGGTGCATTTTTCTAGTTAACGATATCTGTCGCGATGATTATTTGCGGGTCGGATCCTGCCTTCTCGTGATCTTTGAGCGCGCCAAGTCCTTGGGCGAGGATCTTCCTTTCAGTCCTGCTGAGAAGAGGCGGCAGTTTCCCATCGCAGAAGCATGGCACACAGCACAATATGCTTCACGGGACGACCCCTACGTCGATGGAATACAAGCCCTCGTGATGGTGACGAGGCTGCATTTGACAGCCTTGGATGATAGTGTTCCGAGGGAGTGGTTCGCAGATCTCGCTGCAAAGGTGCATAGAGCTTTGGTCAATCTGCAGCAGAAGCAAACGTTCCATGTGAATGCTGGTATAGCTCAGGCTGAAATTGACGCTGCAATATCCTCAATGAAAGACTTGCACACCGACCTGGGTCATATGGTGGAGGAATGGAATATATCGCAAAGGGACGATGAAGCTTCTGGATCGTGAAAGACATGCATCCGCGGCGAAGTACTTTTACGCATTTGTTACACGTTGCATTCGCATAGATCAGTGTCTGGTTCATGGGATGAATGTCGTTTAAGAATCGTTGTTGTCTTGATTAAATCATGGGACGATCAACTGAGGAGGGTAAAAGTACAATAACAGAAGATCACAGAATGTGTTCCGCATCAGTCCTGAGCGATTCTGAACTCCAAGAGCATTGTCCCTACAAGATCATACGTTTGGGTGAGCACTAGACCAGCACTGGCCCTGTAAATTATAATAAATCAAACATCGTCAATGTATCCAGGAATGGAAGGAACTTGCCCAATTTCCTTGAATTCCTTCAAGGTTCGCTCCTTGCCATTCACAACAAGCCACATGATCATGTCTATTTGGTGTGTTGTGTGACTACCGAAGTTCAGTAATGTAGGTTCGGTAGCCTTATGGTCCTGAATGTATGGTTACACCTTAGCCATCAAGCTACGCTCTAAACTTACCTCACTAGACTCGTTAGCCCCTACGTCAGGCTCTTCGAATGCGCGCGAGAGCACGCACTCATCTATCACATGATATTGAGTCTGAAGCAAACTCCACTTTGAAATACAGCCCACTCACGAATCAACACTCGGCTGTTTGGTCCCATTGCTTTGCGAACATTACGGAGAATCACCCTCGACTCCTCGTCCGGCCAGCCATGAATGATGCTCCTTAACTTTATCAATTATTGAGCAGTCCGCATTGAATAGGAACAGATTTGGCACGCACGTAGTAAACATCCTTTCCGACGACAGGCGACTCCTCCAAGAAATTCAATGGCACGAACTCTACACGCCCGTCGAGCAGTACCTCAGGAGCATTTGTCTCCCATGTCTGATCAAATATAAATATAACTCGTCTGCTGTGGATGTCCGGACTCACATTTCTTGACAGCTTTATAGTTTCTGGGAGATCTTGATTGGTTATTCTGAGATGAGGGAACATTTTCGCCAGAGGAATAGACATTGCTCCGGTTCCAGATCCAACATCCACCACAGAGGATACATTGTCCCAATGGTAATCTTATGGCCCGCTTCAGTCATGCTGACAGTTGAAAAAACGGTGATAGCTCACGATGCGGCACCGCAGACAAGCCCTGGATCTCAGAATAGCCCATCATGGCTTTGTGAAATATCTGTGTATAAGATTCTGTGAGCCGCCAGTCAGTCATGAGCTGATGGATCCGCACGCACATCGCGTGCCTCATCCTGTGCAATATTGTAAAACATGAAAGCCCAGTATGATGACTAAAACTCACGTCCATCTCCCAGAAGCTGTTATTTTTGCCTTCCTTTCCGAGAGTAAATACTCGTGGGGCTCTTTCAACCTTGTCCGACCTTGCAAACTCTTGGTCGACCATAGTCTCATAGAGAACCGCAGCATATTTTGGGAATTCTCGCTGAGTTTTTATATAAAACCCGACGTTGTTTGTTACCTTGAGCACGAGGGAAAGTCGTGTATTTGCGAATACGTCTCGCTTAACTATGGAACACCAAAGGCTTCAGAGAGAACTATTAACTGACAGTATAATGCATGTTACCCTCTTTGAAGCAACCCCTGAGGGCCAAAACGCGCAACACGCGTGCGATCTTGGTCTTATCGAGGTTGACTGCGTCGGCCAACACATCCACGCTAAGACCTTCCGGGTGCTTGTCCAAGACGTCTGCAGCGCGTGATTGCACAGCGACGTCTATGCATGCCCAATTGTAATTATTGACAAACTAGGAAGATGAGCAACAAGGCATACAGGGCCATTTATAAATTATAATCGGCACTTACATTATGCACCGTGCGTTGAGGGGGAGCCAGCATTGTGTTCAATTGCTCACATGCACCTTCGAGCAGCCTGATTGCCTTTCTGAGGGCGAGTGTATCTGTCGCAAGATCGAGGGGGTGGAGGGTGCCTGCATCGACGCCAGGGACTCCATGTTCAGTGTTCTTGTATTCCTCCATTGCTTTGCGTGCAGAGGAATTGATGATGTCCAAGAGGGCTTCAACCTTGAGTTCATTTGGTTCCATCATTTTTGGGAGTGTGTGATTCCTCAACAGCCGTTCAGGTTTTATATTCTTTGACCAAATATCATCTAGCTGGATTCCACGGCAAAGACATTCAACATTGGGTATGTGGAAAAAGATCGAAGCACAAAACCTAACTTCTGACTCGGATAACACTGGTTGTTACTCGCGTGACGGTATCAGAGTGGTAAGAACACACGGCACATCTATCCTGAACGACATCCGTGTTACTTGAAGCGAGTAGATGAGCCAAGGTTCAGGTAAGTATGATGCTGGCATTTGCAGCGTGCATACTATAATAATCAGCAAGAGGATGTCATCCACCCTGTGAGGTGTATGTCCGTGTCATCAGTCACTGGTCAGCTACCCATAATTATTAAAAACACCACACTGACGGTAATCATGACTGACCTATAGCTTAATACTTATGGCGCTTCAATTTGCTACTATGACTTATTTGCAAGGAAGTCCGACGTGATCGTCTGAAATTCTCCATCACGCTGCTGCAATAGCAAAAATGTACCAAAAGGCTGTCCAAGGCGACCTGGTGGGCTCATCAGTAAACGTGAGTTCAAAATATGGGATGCCAAGACAGGCGAGCTGCTTGCCACACTAGGGAACAAACTGGAACACGACCTCATAGTTCGGAGCTTGACCTGGACGTCGGACGGAAAGAACGGTTCATATGACCCATTTAGGATATTCAACACAGCCACTTGAAGTCACTTGGCAGGCGATCGCGGTCACACAAACTTCATCTTCTTGTCTTTCAATGAACGTTTCTTTGCAAGTGCATCATGAGATAAAACGGCGCGTGTGTGGAATCTAGACACCAACCTCCCAGTTGGTCCACCCCTCCAGCACGATGACTGCGTGCGCTGCGCATCCATTTCCGCTGATGGAAAACTGCTGGTCAGTGGTTGCCAAAATAAAAACGCATATATATTATACATGGGACATTCACGCCATCATCAAAGAAGCAGGCCTTGAAGACCTCCTTCAACCTTTATAAACCTCATGGTTCTCCAGTAAAACTACGCTAATCTCCCACTCGCAGGTTGCAGCTCAAGAGTCATTAATGGATGTATGTGATTTGTCTCTCAACCTTCTCTGGTTGTAACCTGGATATTCTATTTAGGTGGATACTACACAGGCCGATGA